TTAAAGTAAGTGGTAGCTAGAGTACCCCAAACCCTGAAAGCTAAACCCCTAAACCCCTAGACCCCTAAACCCGGAACCCTAAACCCGAAACCCCAAACCGCATTAGACCCCCAACTACCCTCTAATCTACCCTAAGTTATACACACTATCACGGACCATAAGGGCTCTGTTCAAGAGTGCTTGGAAGCGTCCTGGTAACAAAGACTTCAGAAACCCTAAACCCGTAAATCCCGAAACCCTAAACCCTGAGCCTAAGCCCTAAACCCTAAACCCAAAATCCCGAAAGATTGAAGAAATCCCACACCCCCAACCCTAAATCCTACCTTAACCTACCAAAACCTACTTTTTTGTAGGTTCTTATTATAAACCCTAATAAGGCCTACAAAAAAGTAGGTTTTGGTAGGTTAAGGTAGACCCTAAAAAGAAGGCCCCATTCCTAAACCCTAAACCCTAAACCGCAAATCCCTAAACCCCAAATCCCTAATCCCTAAACCCCGAAACCCCTAAAGATTGAAGAAACCCTAAACCCCTAAACCCTAAACCCCAAACCCTAAAAAGAAGGCCCCCTTTGGCAACTGAGAAGCTTCCGCGCGGCTGCCGAGCGCTCTCTGGCGGCCGGCCGCTTCTTTGGAGCCATGGCCAGTTGGGAGTTTTGGGCTTACAGTTTAAATAGGGTTTAGGGTTTAGGATTTAGAGCTTTAAGGATTTTGGGTTTTAGAGTTTAGGGACTTAGGGCTTTAAGGTTTAGGGTTTAGGGTTTAGGGCTTTAGGGCTTTAGGGGTTTAGGGGTTTAAGGTTTTCGGGTTTAGGGTTTAGGATTTTGAGGTTTTCGGGTTTTAGAGTTCAGGGTTTCGAGTTTTGGAAGGATCTAGGGCTTTAAGGATTTGGGGTTTTAGAGTTCAGGGTTTTGAGCTTTGGAAGGGTTTAGGGTTTTAAGGTTTTCGGGTTTTAGAGTTCAGGGTTTTGAGCTTTGGAAGGGTTTAGGGTTTTAGTGAGGGCTGGGGTTTTAGGGCTTTCGAGTTCTGTAGGCTTTTGGGGCTTCGGGTTTGGGGTTTTGGGGCTTTCGGGGTTTTAGGGTTGTAGAGTTCGGGGCTTTAAGGTTTTAGAGTTTTCCAAGGGTTTGGAGCTTTAGGCCTTTAAGGATGGTTTAGGGTTTTAGAACTTAGGGCTTCGGGTTAGCGGGTCCAGGGTTCAGGGTTTTAGGGTTCTAAAGCTTAGGGTTTCGGGGTTTCGGGTTTAGAGTATTGTCTGGTTTCTAGCATGGCATATATGGTTACCCATAGGCCCTAAAGTAGTTCCTTTTTGGGGTTCATATATAGAATCCTATAAGGTAACCCCAAAAAGGAACTACTATGGGGCCTATGGGTATGTCTAGGACTGCATGCGAGAAGACTTGGGTTCTCGAGTTCAGGCCTTGGAAGGATAGCTCTGCAATCTGAGATAAGCTCAGAAATGGCTCGGCGGGGTGGGGCTGTAGGTTTTGCCCATAGGCCCCTTAGTGGTTCCTTTTTGGGAGTACCTTATTAGGGTTCTAAATATGAAGCCCAAGAAGGAACTACTATGGGGCCTGTGGGTGGGCTTTAGATACGAGTTGAGGGTTTGAGGCTACCGGCCCGGCTTAGGCTTGGGGTTTGTAGGTCCGGTAGTGCAAGCAAGGTAGAGCTTCTGATATCTTGGTCTTGACTGTGGGATTAGGGTTTAGGGTCATATTACTCGCAGAAAACGGTCCATCCTTGTGTCATCTGCAGACAACCAGGGCTCAAGCAAAGTACACTGATCCAAGCCTGATGTGTGCTGTACTCCGTCTGCCAAAATTGAAAAAGACGTCCTGTCGGACGACGACAACGGCGCTGATTGCAACGGCGTCTGCATGCAGCATATCCCAAAAGCCAGGCAACATCCACTGTTCCGTCAGCCACCACCAACGCTAACAATGCCACGAAGATGCTCTACCACTCACACTACAAGAAACACGGCCAGCTTGCTGCTGGATTGTTGGCTGTAGAGAAGTTGCCTTCGCGCAGCTTGCAAGAATTGGGGTTTCGGGTTCGGGGTTTTAGGGCCTATAGGGTTTGAGGCTTAGGGTGCAGGGTTGCTCATACTTTTCTGACATGACCACGCAGCGAAGCGCTCTTTCGCGACAGCAGGTAGCTTGGGCTGCGATTATTTTGGGCCAACTTCTTGCGGTTAGGGTTTTTAGAGCATACGGGGCGCACTCTGCTTGAGCGCTTTTCCAACCGACCGACAAATTTCACATGAACGTTTCTGAACCTGGACTATGATATGAACCCCAACACCTTAGCCCTAAGGGTCCATGGACCCAACTAGTATATACATTGGCCCTAAAGTACCTATACAGGGACTACATTAAGGCCAAAGTATATATTATTTGGGCACATGGACCCTTAGGGTAGGATCTTTGATAAGCCTAAGAACCTCACGTGCGACTCATGCGTCCGTGTCCGGGATGCTCTTGAGCAATGGAAGCTCCGACTCCTCACGCGACTCTTGCATCGGGGCTCAGGGTGCGGCCTTATAATGTAGGGGCCCAAATACTTACCTATACTATTTTTTGGGGGCTTATTATGTATCTCTCTCTCTATATATATATCTAATACTATTTTGGGGGTTCCTTGTTATATATCTATAAAATAATATACCCCAAAACCCTCTTCTAATTATTAGGGGTCCTATATTGGGCTTTTCAGTCTACGGGTTTATAGGGTTAGCGCTTAGAGTTTAGGGTTCAGGGTTTAGGTCCCCGGGCTCAGGCTTCGCTGGCTCCATGCGGGAATTTAAGACAACTGGGGGCCCGAAACCCTAAACCCTAAACCCCTAAACCTAGATAGAGAGCCTGTGCATGTCCCTACAGTGTGTAAGATCCTCGGAACACCTATGAATGCATACCCATAGGCCCCATAGTAGTTCCTTTCTGGGATTACCTTATAGGATTCTAAATATGAACCCCCAAAAAGGAACTACTATGGGGCCTATGGCCCTAAACCCTAAACCCTAAACCCTAAACCCTAACCCTATGGGTACGGCCTGTCCCTAAAACCCAAGGGTCGGGCTCCGGCTGTGGAAGTCGCAGTCGGGAGCTTCGGGCTCAGAGTCTCAGGGCTTGGAGGGTTGAGGATTTAGGGTTTAAGTTGAAGGAAACTATAGGTGGGGAGTTTGGGGTATTTAGGGCTTCTATAAGGCTTCTTTAGGTTTTAGGGTTTACCCATAGGCTTCATAGTACTGTAGTTCCTTTTGGGAATCATAGTCAGAAACCTATAAGGTAATCCCAAAAAGGAACTACTATGGGGCCTATGGGTAAGGTTTCAGGGCTCTAAAATGTCGGGGATAGGGGTTTTGGGGTTCGGGCGTCTTCAGGATGGAGAAAGTTCCGGTACATTCTGTCTCAGATTACGACGGTCGCGTACATAGGCTGAAGACACATGTCAATGTGCACGTTATACATATGTATACATACATACATACATACATACATACATACATACATACATACATGCCTCCATATATGCAAGCATGTACATGTACATACACACACACACATGCATATACTGCCCGATGTTCTTGTTTTGAGGTGGCTTGATGCCGTTGCACGTTGCTGTAACCGCAATGCCAGCAGAAGAGCTTCAGATACTTGCGGTGGTACCCCCCAAACCCCAAACCCCTCAACCCTAAGCCCAGAACTCAAGAAATCACATGTGGTTGGGTTGCAAGATTATAAGCACGAGCCAGCTTTTTCCCGAAATTTCACGGCGAGGTGTCAATGAATAAATAGTCAGGCAGTTGTCGTAAGAGGAGTCTGGTGGATAAGGCATCAGGAACTGGATGCTTTTTTGAGGATAGCAGTGCCTTTGTGGATGGTCTTCTGAATTTTGGTGCCGACGGTGATTGAGCCTACGTTCGAGGTGAGACGCTGTGGGTGTCTCATTTCAGATGCAGCCGTCCCCAAGTGGAAAGGAAACCAACCATTGTCAGACAACGAAAGGTACTCGTAGGGAGCCCCACGTCACAAAGATAATAAGGGTATTCCTGCGAGGATCTACCGCCATATCTCTCGACTCTAAACCCTAAACCCTCATTGTAGAGTGATTCGCAATGTGCTTTGAAGCATGAATTTGCCTGTTGCTGTTGGCACCCCTGGGCCCAAAGCCTAAAACCTTTTCTGCCCTCAACCCGACGCCCAACACTTCAAGACTGAATGTAAAATCCTACCGCCAAATCCCACCTAGACTTTCAGTGGAACCCTATACGGACGAATATTCACAAGATTGGATTGGGTGTGGGGTCCCCTTTGAATTTTTCATCAAAAGACACTATGTACCACAAAACGCACATCAACATAGACTCTGTAAGGCACTATGACTAGAGGAGGCGGACTGTTCGGAACTTGAGTCCAGAGTCTTGAGGTTCCGGCCACGGTTTAGGTTTTAGGGTTTAGGGTTCAGGGTTTAGGGTTTAGGGTTTCATAGCCTCAATCGATGTACTACTCATCAAGCCTCTGGAGTATTCCTGGCCCTAACGGCAGCCTTATCGCCCTTTCCCAAAACATGGTATTTGGGCTCGGAAAAACGCGATAGTTCCTGGGGGTCAAGGTAGCTTCCCCACAGCCAAGAATATAGATTCGTCTGAGACGCCCGGATTCGGGGCAAGGCCTGCAGGTACAGCAATAGGGTCCATCAGTGCTTACAAACAGAAGATGAATAGTGAATTGAACATACTTGTAAACACAGGTGCCCCCAAAGCCTGCTAAAATCATAGAACCCTTACCTGTCCAGTACCCTAGGGGGAAGCAAAGGTTACACTTTGGGATTGGAAAGAGATCATAGTATCTCCAAAAATGTTCGAGGGTACCCACTCTGTTACTCAGAACCTGAAGACTCCAAGCTAAACCAGAGTTCCATGATTCGCACAAGACGGAGCACACTCGCTCAAGCGAGAGCGCGGCTGCAAACAAAATGAGACACGCCGCCAAGCAGATGGAAGCATCACAAAGATGTTGGGCCATTCCACCTGAGCCACAGCTTACGCAGGGAGCTTGGGGTGTCGGATTGAAGGTGTAAAGATTTAGGGCTTGCCTGGACCCCAAAGTATGTATTAGAACAATTACCAGCCTTTCTATAGGTGTTGGGCCATTAGTTTACCTAGTTTTGGGAAACCCTGAACCCTAAACCCTAAACCCATAAATTCCCCCAAAACCCTAAACCCATAAATTTGGTCTTAACTTCCCTACTCTAGGTCTCAGGTTTAGGAGCGAGAGAAGTCTGCAGGGCGCCCTAAGCCCTTCGGTTTAGGGTTTAGGGGTTAGGGGTTCAGGGTTTCGGGTTTAGGGCTCAGGAATACTTACCAGTACGTTTTTTTGGGGCGGTTCCTGGTCTAATATAAGGTTTAGGATTTAGGGTATACTATTTTGGGGGCTCCATATTATTATGGTATAAGGGGCCCCACAAACCCTATTCCAGTTACCAAGGCCCCTATATTAGAGACACGAAGCCTCTTCTTCGCAGACGCATTTGTGTAGTTCTCTAAATTAGGGTCACTTTTAAGGGTCCTTTTTACAAGGGTGCCGGACTATATTGGGGACCCAAAAAACGAGACCCTAATTTCGAGAACTACTCACATGAAGATCAGGCCCTTGCCTCCCCCTGCACCTAAACCCGTAACCAATCTTAACCCTAAGCTGCATGTATCCTAGACCTAGGGAGAACTAGACTAGACAGCCCGAACATTGAATCCGCCATCAATGGAGCTTAAACTCCACAATGTACGCGCCTGAACAATGTATGGGCCTGAAGAATCGGGAAATAACAATCTAAAGTGCTTGGTAAATAAATATAACCTACCCCAAACCCAAAGCCGTAGACTACTCACGAAAGCCTCGATCTCACTTCTATGGAGCTGCTCAATCTGACGCGCGCTCAACGATCCTTGTGAATCAGAGCATAGTATACCATTAATGCAGTAGTCCCGCTGCATTAAATTTAGTTACCACCCAGAGGCTTCGCGAGACTCGTGTGTACGTATGTGGATGCAGATTCCGCGAATCAGCGCATAGTGTTGGGAGAGTAGCAGTTACAAGGAAACTTCTGCAGGATTTGGGGCTCAAGGTTTAGGGTGCAAGGCGTGATCTTGGTGCCATATAATTGCCTTAGCGTTGCCTTATGTCGGTGGGACCCATGCCTTGTCTGTCTTGCTTGAGTATCTGGAGTCTAGCTCGGAAGCTCAAACTGCCTAATCCCAATTCCTCGACAGTACGGGGCCAAGCTCCTGACGTGCCCCAGGTGCCATCTTCCCTCTTCGTGTAGGCCCAAGTCTCGTCGTACCTCCCAGAGAGCCCAATACCCCTTAAATAAGGAACATACCTTCAATCATGGGGGCCGTCATATTATGGTTTAAGGTATATTCCTTGTTTAAGGGGTATTGGGCCCTCTGGGGAGCTGGCAGCCTCTAATCGCTACCTTGAACTGCCAAAACCTACTCTTTCCTGCAGGGTCCCGACAGACTCTATATTAAGGTTTATAGTAGGAACCAACCAGAAGTAGGATGTGGTGTTTGAAGGCAAAGAAACTATGTCACGAATGCCTGTTGAGCCTGTTGAGGCTGTTTTGGGATGAAGGCTTGTTCAGGCTAGGTGGTCACGGTGACATCATGCAATGATGTCGCTGCATCCCCGAGCATTCGAAGTTCAGCACATAATGACGATTCTTTACAATCTCAGCCAAGAGAGTAACAAGAGAGAGCGAGAGCTTAGCATGAGGTTGCTGGGAGCTTGTGCTGTGCCGGCTTTAGGAGAGCAACCAGGTATCACTGGAATGCACGACCATGCCTTTTCTTGGAACTACTTCTGCACTACAGTATCTACTGCACTTATGCCTTTATATAAACGGAGCTTGCAGAAGATAATGCCATGCTGCATGCAAGTTAGTCTACTACACAAACGGGTTGTCACAAAAAAGGCGCTGATGGCCCCTTCTCGAGAGCGCAAGTATGCCCACCGAGGGCACTTGATTTTCTCCACCGCATCGGCAATATCCGGCCACTCCAGACATGTCCGTTCCTGCACCAAGTTGCTGACCCAAACACAAAAGCTTAAAGCTGGAGTTGGAAACGACACGATGAAGCATAACATTCCGACCTTCAGAACACAACCTGCAAAGCGTTTCCGGTCTACAGCGATAATTACAATGGTTGCATGTTTAAGGGGTCTAACTTATGGGATTTTATGGGGAGGGGGTAGCTTTAGGGCTTTGGGGTTTAGTTTTCGCAGCCCAGCAACTTGAGAAAACATGCTCAAACCCAAAGCACACCCCGTACTCGATCCAAATCACGGGGGTCTGTCAACAAAACCACGAGCACCTCTTCCCGCTGAACCAAAACAAACCCTATAAACCATAAGAAACCCTAAACCCTATAATCAACCCCAAACCTCGTAAGGATCCTTAGAAGGAGAGGGGCTGTCACTTTGAGCTTTGGTTCATGGTGTAGAACTATAGGACTTCGGCATTTCTCCATATGGGTACTTCTCTCAATTAGGGTTTAGGGTTTAGGGTTTAGGGTTTAGGGTTTAGGGTTTAATTTTTAGGTCCCCAATATAACACGGCACCCTTAGAAGAAGGACCCCAAAAAGGAACCCTAATTGAGAGAACTACCCATATAGCAACTGAACTCGACGCCCCCTTCTGTGTCTTTTGTGTCCATCTAAGCCCTGAACTCCGTATACCCCAGTCGAACCTTACTGCACCCGTACATCGTCGCGCATCTTTTTGCAGCTCTGGCATGGAGTGATGACAGTGTTCTAAAGGCGTTCCAGCATTGGGCTTCGTGCTTTCCTGACTTGCGTTTGTTTACATCTTACAGGCTCACGTTTACACTGATTTCAGGTTTAGTTTGAGATTTATGGTTTAGTTCAGCAATTAGGGTTCTAACGTGTAGTGAAGCACGAAGCCATGTTTTTTGGACTGTGTTCGGCTGTATATGCCTTACGCTGCCATCACAGGCGAAACACACAAAATGAGTAGCTGTTGCACAGCTTCTCTTCCGCAGATTCATGGTGAAAGCGCTGCGAACTTGAGTCGAGCGTATCGTCCCCGCCATTCACGCAAAGGTCTTACTGGACATGCTGGCACCTCCACTGAGGGCTTGCGGCTTGCTATTCTTCCTCCTCTTATGTGTTTCTGTTTACTGTACAGAACCGTGGTGATAGGTTTGGCAGTAGCCAGTGGTAGCTAGCAGTAGCCTTAACATGCCGTATAACACGGCGGACATAGCAATCAAGGCCGTTCGAGTACCACTGGCAAATAACGACAAGCCAGATCTCGGCTGTCCAGCTTGCCAGATGGAGCTTCGCATTATCTGGAGCGGGAGTCTTTCAGGTAAACACACCAGCGGGCAGCAATGACAAGCATCCCAAAATCCATAAAACAAAGGACAAACGCGCAGCAACGACGACACGGAGCGACGAGAATTGCAACAACAGTCATGCAGCAAAGCAATCTGCACGGTAGCGGAAACAAGAAGCAATGAATAACAAAACAAAGCCAATGTCAATCCCACTACCCCCCCAACAAAAAAATAAAAAACAAATATTGAACCCTAAACCCGGAAACCTGTAGACCCTGATCCCTGCCACAAAAACCTCATAGACACCTCATCAAAACCTGCCAACCCTGAGAAAAGTACGCAAGCAGCTGCACTTTACACATACTTCTCTGAATCACCTGACGCCTTAGTAGTTGGGCCCGTTGACCCTGAAAGAACTGTGCAACTTTGCCCTGGTTTAACTTGCAAAACCAGAACTCCAAAACCACCCTCTACAACCCTGACTGATGAAGCCTATATTCTAATGTCGATGAATTGCCCTAAACCCCAAGCCCTAAACCCCTAAACCCCTAAACCCCTAACCCCAAAACTCCTAAACCCTAAACCGCAAAACTCCTAAACCCCAAAACTCCTAAACCCCAAAACCCCTAAACCCCCCAAACCCTAAACTCCCACACCCTAAACCCCACATGACTTGAACCCCCTTGGGCCTCTAGGCCCAACGGGCCATATCTCCTCGCTTTACTGCCGGATGCCGGTGGACCATCCTGGGGAAAAAGACGACCCATGAGGGCTTACGGATTCAGGATTCGGGTCGAGCACTTCTTTGCGTTTCTAGAGGGCTCTAGAATGTTATAAATGGCAAACCCGTAAGTAGTGATTAAGGATTCGGGTCAATTTCTTTTTGCGTTTCTAGAGGGCTCTATAATGTTCTACTTTGCAAACCCGAAAGTCCCTAAACCCTAAACCCTAAACCCGAAGCCCTAAACCCTAAACACAAAGTAGTATGAGGCTCAGCTTCTGCAGATCTTCTAGGGCTCTCAATGTCTGACGTATTGTTGTTTTCGGCCTCAGGCCCGCAGTGTTCGAAGTGCCCCTGCGTAGCTGCTAATAAAGGGGCCTTGAGAATTAGAATAGGGCTTTTGGGGTTCCTTTTAAAGGGTTCCTTAAAGGGTTCTATAAGGGCTACTATAAGGGTTTAGGGTATAGGGGCCTTCGGAATTAGAATAGGGTTTTGGGGCCCAGTTTTTACTAGAGTTATAATAAGGAAACCCCAAAATAGTAAAGGTAATTGTTGAGGCTCCTATACTATTCTCAAAAGACTATGGTCTGCTTTGTCCCACACCCGGGAACAAACTCCCGGAGACGTGAGCTCCCGGTTCGTCCCGAAGATAACGGATCCCTCCCACAACAAAGACCTCAAAAGGATTCCCAGTTGCAAAACCAGTGCCCTGAACCCCTTAAACCGAAACCGCCCATTTTGAGCCTTCTAGCCACAGCCTCTAAAGGACCCCGATTCTAGCGCTGTCATGCACGCATGACGTGGTAGACCCTGCGCCTCAGCTGCTAAACCCAAGCCCTAAATCACAAAGCCCAACAGCTTAAAGACCCAAGCCCGAAATCATAAAGCCCAACAGCTTCAAGATGGTGACTTTTGGGGGCCAGGAAAGGGCAAAACCAACCAAGGCACCGCGTTGCCCAGTGCCGCCGCGCAAAGCGCCGGCACGGGCGTTCCTTGTCGGGCTGCACGGGATTTCAGGTTTACTTCGAACGGTTCCAAAAGAGGTGTTAATGTAGGGGCGTTAAGAATAGGGCTTTGGGCTCCTTTTATAGTATAGTTACAAGAGGGACCCTAGATAATAATATTGGTAATTATTTGGGCGTCTATATTAGGCTCCTCAATCTATCCCGACCTGCTCCGGTTGCAATGTCGATCTCCAAACCTACACTGCCAGAACGTTGCGGGTAAAGGTCTGAAGGATTTTGCCAAGCCCTGATTACCTCCACCTTTCAACTTGCACTTGTTCTCCTGACCCTCCAAGCAAACCCCAAACAGCAAAGCCTAAAAATCCGACACCGCAAACCTATAAGCGTTGTATAACCCCCAAACCTTATAGTCCCAAGAAATCCTTCAAGTGTGCGTGCAGCAGGTAAACGGGGAACAAACGGAATGGAGCCGGCCTGCATGGGTTTCCTAGACTTACATATAGACATGCCGGCGCCGGCAATCCTCATTTCCGGCAACCGCTACGACAATTGCCAAATCCATACGCCCGAAACCCTAAACCCTTAACTCTAGACCCCTAACCTCTAACCCCCACTGCCTAGCTCCGAAACCCGAAGTCCCCAAGACGATAGTGAAAATACATGTAGGGCCTTGGGTTTTGGGTATATTGTACTATAAATCCAATTAGGAACACCGGAGATAAATGATATAGGTACTTATTAAGGCCCCTACATTAAGTAGACACTATATCTTTGCACGACCATCTTTGCAACCATCTGAACCCAGCCCAGCTGCAGCCCAAACACCTCGGGTTCAAACATTACTTGGAGGATCATGGGACTTAGTAAGTAAGGTTATAAGTACCCTAATTGGGGTTATAATTATAGTTACCTTAGTTATAACCCTAGTTACTAAGTCCCAATGATCCTCCAAGTAAAAGATAAGATAAGACTTGGTCCAGACTTTTCGGTCAAACGCACCCAAACCCCCTCCAACTTCAATAATAAAAACCTCAACCCTAAACCTTAACTCCTAGACCCTAAACCCAAAATCCTAAACCCTAAACCCAAAACCTCTTCAAAACCCTGAGCCCTAAAACCTTCGCCAAGTGTCTCCCACCCAGCCCGGCGCATGGGCTGGGAACCAAACGAGGCTCCTGCACAGCCGTCAAGGCGTTTAGGCCCGTTTAGGGTTTAGGGTTTAGTTGAGGGTGTATAACCAGAGAGCCCAATACCCCTTAAATAAGGAATATACCTTAAATCATAATATTAAGACCCCTATGATTTAAGGTATATTCCTTATTTCAGGGGTATTGGGCTCTCAGGCTTGGTGTGCGGCCTGTTCGGGTTTAGAGTTTGGGGGTTAGGGTTTAGGGTTTAGGGTTTAGGGTTCTTCTTTTTTCGGATGTAGGGCTTCGGAGATGTGTTTTCGGGCTCACGGCTAGAAGTCCGCTCTGCTTTCTCTGAGCATGGGCGTTTTGCTGGGGAGCTGTTCTAATCTACCAAAAAAACCATTATTACAGGCTTCTAACCGCACCACCTCTGACCAATCTGTGGTCCGGGGCAAGACAGAACCAAACAAACCCTACCTTAAACTACCAGAACCTGCGATTGTTCAGGTTCAGGTCCTTTATTCTGGACCCCAATCGGGACCGTTATGGTGAGTTCAGGCAAACCCTAACCCTAAACCCCTAAACCTTAAACCCTGAAGCCCTAAATAAACCCCTAAACCCTGAACCCCTCAACCTTAAACCCCAAGGTCTTTGAGGCTTGTGGTCTACAATAAGAGCTTGAGGTCTTGGCATCTGGTCTGGGATTTTCGGGGGCGGCTAGGGGCTATGACGAGGGGTTTAGTTAGGAATTTGAAGTTCTCAGGAGTCATGGCGCCCCATGAGTCTACCACACCATGCTTCTCTAGGGCACCTGTAATTCTGCAGTTTGTGCTATACTACAGTATAGCTGATTATTCCGATTTTCAAAAGAGGCACGAAGATGAACATGACAAGCAGTTAC